GCAATCAGATGGCACGGACTCTGGCACATTTGGCGCAGCGATGGCGATGCCCAAATCCAGATCCGAACTGCTTGGGTCGGCCCCAGCAAGCTCCGAACAAACCACCGACTCATCCGGCAGCTGCTCATCCTCCAACGCTGATGCACCATCTGCAGCTAAAGACAAGACAGACGTGCGGGATTCCTCCCCAAGTGCATCCGTGCTGGGAGTGGCAAGTTCGCGATCTTCTCGCTGAGGCCCTGGACTGCCAATCTCTTCTGCTGAATTCCCGAAAACATCATCTAACTCGCCCAGCTGCGTGCAGCAATCATCAAGCCCGATGTCGCAGGCATCCGCCTGTGATGCGCTTCTGCCATGCAGCTCTTGCTGCTTCTTGCCAGACTCTGAAGCAGAATCGCAAGCTTGCACCGGGCACTCGCCAAGCGCATGCGGCTCGGCATGCAGGACACAAAGCTCCGCCTCTGCCGGTTCAGAATCCATGCTGGAATCCTTGCCCACGGCCCCGTCGTCAGTGTGCTCCGAGTCTGCGGCCACGTTCTCCGAGTTGGGATGCGCGGCTGACTGCTCCAAGGCTGGCCCGCACTGCAACAGATCTCCCGTGCTAGCATCTGTCACATTGGCGACGCTCGGCGAATCCCGGCAAATTGCAGATGCATTTTCGGCCATGCCCTCGGAAAGCTCTTGATTGGGCTCCTTGAAGCTCACAGTCCTTCGCGCCCTTGTCGTAGTCTTTCTGCTGGGGGGTTTTGCAGCCGCCGTAATCCTGAAGGCTGTGTAAGTGCTTTGCATTCACCGTTGTCCGAGGCAGCCAAGCTTAAACACTTCTGGCTTTAGAAACACTTCGGGCTTTAGACTCAATTCGATATTCTCTTTCTGTCACGCAGGGGGCAGAGGCATCCAGGCTCCTTGCTGGGATGGTGTCTGCTCTCTCCATGGCCGCAGCCTTCTTGTCCGGTACCTGGGCAGAAGAACAAGGGCCCCTTCCAGCTCTTGGGGTGTCCCACCCTGCACCGCCTCCCTCCCCGGCCTTGGGCTTCGGGCCCTCCTGCTCTGAATGGCTCTTCGCCGGAGCCCTGCTCGTACCTCGGGCATTCATATCCCTTCAGATATCCCTTCGTATCATGGCTTTAGGGTTTTTTTTGGGTTTAGGGTTTGGGGTTTAGGGATGCCCTGGCTATATGCTTGCTCCGCATGCCAGGCGACCCGTGGGGAGCCGTGGGCGCGGGATCTTGCTGGGAGCGACGGTCTTCTTGGATGGCAGCCGCGGCTCTGAAGGTCGATCCCGCGGTTCGCCCCTCTTCTCCTCAGTAACATGAAGTATATATTATAATCAATTATGTTACATATTACATTATATACAATAATAGATTATGTCCTACAGTGTTGGGGTACGTGAGAGGCTAACAAAAAGCTAAAAATGAAAGAGAGCAAGAAAAGGACCGTAAGGGATTTCTGGTTGCATCGCCGGCGCCGCTGCGAGGGTCGACACGGCCTGCGGAGCAGCGGCCTCGCCGTGCGTTGCCGCGCCGGGGATCCTGCCACTGGGAGGGTTTAGGAGTTTAGGGTTCATAGGGTTTAGGGATTTAGAGTTTTGGGGCCCATCGGCAGGTCAGGCCAGATACTCCGGAAACCTCAGAAACTCAGCATCCTAAGTGCTACCATAAACTGTCAATGGATACCTAGCATGACGTTGAAAACCTCTAAAAACAGCTCGAAGCCTTGAAGCAAGGGTACACATGCAGAACCGAGGAATGTGCTCTGGGAGCCACATTGGGCGATCGAGAAGGGTTGAAAGCTCACCAGCAAACCAGGTTTGCGCAAGCATCGCACAGCCCATCCTGGGTCGCGGTATCCTGCTGGTCTTTTCCGACTCCACGGCCTTCTTGTCCAAAGCCTCTTGCAAGGCTCAACAGCCAGATGGCCAGATGATGCCAGATGTCTAACAAGCCGCACTGACTCCTGAATTGCAAACCTACCCTGACCGATACAAGCTCTGGCAAACCGTGCTCGAGTCTGCTGGAGTCGGTTCAAGGCTTAGCTAGGCTTAGCTAAGCGTATGCATCAAATGCAATCAGCAGACACCTTGCCTTGCCACCAAAGCGCACCAACTCTCGCCTCAAAAGCCCCCTGAACTTCGAGCAATCCCAGCAAAGCTGCTTCAAATCTTCCCCTCACAACATTTCACAGAAGTCCGTTGGGCCTGCCAGAACTCGCGGACGTCCTTCTTAGACTGCCTGGCCTGCCCGACGACAGCACAGCCCCTCGAGCAAGCTACGCGTAGCTCAGGAGATGCGCCGTTCAGGTCCTGCCTTCTCCAGAGCGTTGCTTGTCGTTGTCGGCTCCTTGTGGTGCGGCTGCGAAGGAAGGGAACCTCGTCAAGAGCATGGTACAGCAGCGGCCGCAAACTGTCTTCAACCTGGAGATCTCGCTCTCAATCCAGCCGGGCCTGCTGTAAGTCTCGAAGGGCGCACTTTGGTGGCTTTTTCGGGCTGCTGCTTCGACACCGGGACCGGCCGGGACTCGAAGGGTTTCTTCGGCTTCGGCGCCTGGCAGGTCGGTCTTGGAGCTGCGACGGCACATGAAGCCTTGCACAGCACATCTGTCGAACTTGCTATGAGTCTTGAGTGGGAGGGAAGGTGGGAGAGAGAGGGAGACTTCGATGTTGAAAGCCGCCGCCTCGCTGGACCGGCAATCCTTCCGAGCCACTGAGGTCTTCAAACTCAGGCATGAAGTGGAGGGGGAATGACGCAGCGCTGGCTCAGGCTGCTTCGTTCGGCTGTCTGCGGCATTGCTGGAAGCCGGCACATTGCTCGCTCCAGCTGAACTAACCGTAAGCATCTGCTGATCGGGCAGGGCACTGGTGGCATTCGCGAAGCTCCGCGAGTCTAGACCAGAAGCTGCACGGTCTGTGCCCGTAGGCAGCTCATTGGTGGCCTCATGGAAGCTGGCAGACACCTCAGATGCATCTTGCAGTTGCCTTGTGCTAAACTCGGATTCGATGACGTTGGTATCCGATGGCACGGACGCTGGCAGAGTCGGCAAAGGGATATCCGAACTGCCTGGGCCGGCGACAGCCAGCTTGGAACAAGTAGGCTCATCCTCCAACGCTGACGCAACATCTACATCTGCGGTCGCCAAGGCAGGCGTGCGAGCTTCCTCGAGTGCATCAGTGAGTGACATGGCAGCTTCGGGATCTTCTCCCTGAACCCCTCCTGGACAGTCCATCTCTTCTGCTGAATTCCCATCTACCTGGCTGAACTGCAGGCAGCCATCACCAGGCCCGATGTCGCGGACGTCGGTTCCTGATGTGCTTCTGCCGTCACGAACGGACGTCGGGGCTTCGGCAGAATCCCCCAGTGTGAGCTGCAGCTCTTGCTGCTTATCGCCAGACGCTGTTAACGCAGAACCGCAGGCTTCCACAGGGCCCTCCTCAAGTACGTGCACTTCTGCATGTGGCACACAATCCACTGCCTGTTTAGAAGGCATGCTGGAATCCCTGGGCGCAGCTCCGCCGTCGAAGCCATGCTCTATGTCTGCGGCCATGTTCCCGACGGTGCGATGCGGGACCTCCCTGCAGTCAGAAACAGGTGCGAGCTTGTCTTGGCACAGGACCAAAGATTGCATGCACACCCCGTCCCTGCCGCTCAGCCTCTCCTCAAAGGGCTCAACACATGCTGCAGAAAGCCTGTCTTGCAAAATCACGCCGAAATCACTCTCGTCCTGCTGACGAAGCCCCGTGCTTGTGCTTGCATCTTCTGCGTTGGTGATGCTTGGCGAATCTACAACAGCCGGTTTGGATGCAAATTCTGCAATGCCCTCGGAAAGCTCTTGCACAGCCTCCTCCCATTCACTGCTTGAGGCCATGCATTGTGGGGTATCGGTGACCTTGCAATCAGATGGCACGGATGCTGGCATAGCTGGGATATCGACATCTGGATCCGAATTGCGTGGTTCGGCACCAGCAAGCTCTGCAAATGCAATTGACTCACCCGGCGCTTGCTCATCCTCCAACGCTGACGCAACATCTACATCTGCGGTCGCCAAGACAGGCGTGCGAGCTTCCTCGAGTGCATCAGTGAGTGACATGGCAGCTTCGGGATCTTCTCCCTGAACCCCTCCTGGACAGTCCATCTCTGCTGCTGAATTCCCATCTACCTGGCTGAACTGCAGGCAGCCATCACCAGGCCCGATGTCGCGGACGTCAGTTCCTGATGTGCTTCTGCCGTCACGAACGGACGTCGGGGCTTCGGCAGAATCCCCCAGTGTGAGTTGCAGCTCTTGCTGCTTATCGCCAGACTCTGTTAACACAGAATCGCAGGCTTCCACAGGGCCCTCCTCAAGTACGTGCACTTCTGCATGTGGGACACAATCCACTGCCTGTTTAGAAGGCATGCTGGAATCCCTGGGCGCAGCTCCGCCGTCGGGGCTGTGCATCTCTAAATCGCCATGCTCCAAGTCTACCGCCACGTTTCGGAGTGTGCGATGTGCGACTCTCGTGCAGTCAGAATTCGTCGCGGAAGCTTCTTCGCACAACTCCAACTCCTGGATGGACCCGAGGAAAGAGGCCCGGTCGCAGTCCAGCGTCTTCTCTTCACAAGGCTCCTGGTGAGCTACAGGAGAGTCGTCTTCCAAGCTCATGCAGAACTCGAGGTGGGTCTGGCACTGCAGCTCTGCACCCCCGCCGCCGTGGCTAGGCCTTGGTGGCAGAAACATCAAAGCAGAAGACCTCGGTTGGGGCCTCTTTTGACGCGCCGAGTCTCTCCAGCTGCTCGAGGTCGCCTTCCGTGAAGGCCAGGGATGTCTTGATCATCTCCGTCTCAGGTTTCGCGGGCATGGTGGGAGAACCTCGCGCAGCAAACGACGCAGCTACTGGTAGCCCAGTTGCAAGCAGAGTCTTAGCGCAAGCCGGAGGCCTTCGCATGCCTCGACGCCACAGCATAGAGGAGCCTTCGCTGCCTGGACAAGCTTTTTCAGGGAGAAAGGAACGAGAAGCATGCGGCTTCGGCTTAGGCCATCGAAGCCCAGAAACAGAGGACACAAGATGCTTCTTTGATTGTGGAGGCCAAACAAATCCAGACCATCACACTCCTAGTCCGAGCCTCCAGTGTCTGTGGGCAAGAAACCACCTAAGTTTTCACGACAAGGGCCGCTCTCGGAAGGAAAGTCGCTCAAACTGCACACCGAGAACCCCTTGGCTGTGGAGGTCTAGCCAAGGAGCCGGCTCCGCAAACTTCTCGCTACTAGCTGGAAGCACCAGCGGCGTCCGACGCAAAGGCGTCATCGGATCGGGAGCTCCGTCGCACTCGCCAACCTCGCCCGCCACTTGCTCCTGCAGAGGGGGAGCGGATGCTTCAAGAGCAGAGGTGCAAGAGCTCCCGAGCTCCTGTGTCCAGTCGGCCTCAAACTCGTCCACAATGGACCAATCCAGTGCTTTCTTGCCTAAGCTTTCAGTATTTTGCAACAAACTCGCTCAGTTGCCACCTGCAAATTCGCAGCTTTGTGGCCACAACTGGACGTTTGCTGACCCGAAGACGAGCCACTCTGGTCAAGCCTCTCCGGATTCAGGCAGAGCTGCGATTCACCTGCAGTCCACGGAGCCGAGAGCGGGACTAAACCAGACCACGGTCCGAGGGCCGCGGCAGAGAGGGAGGCTAGTTCGGACGCTCCGCCCTACGTCCCGTGGAATTTCCCAAGAGGTGCGCTACGGAGACTTCCGATCAATTCAGGCGCCGAGACGCCATGCAACTCATCACTCGAGAGAAACTCGGACTGGCCAGCCAGCTCCTGGAAATGTGCCGAAAGCCCGGCCGGCGCTGCTCTCTGTGCCAAAGCGACAGAATGGCTCAAACTCCAGTTTTGCAAAGGGCCTGAGACGCCTCCCTCGTAGATTCAAGGTCATGAACTATGCACTCAAACTCAGGTCAGTGTTCAATGTTTCAGTGTCAACTACACTTCGGGTGCTTACTACACATTGTATGTTGCTCTCGCTACACTGTCACTCAGGTCCTCATCCTGCCCATCAGGATTCGGGGCTGCCTGGGCGGCGTGAGGCTCTCATCTTTCGGATCTATGCTTCTTCACGCTCGAGAGAGGGCGGGGTCTGTGGCCTGTAAAGCATCTCGTGAAAAGACCGACCGCCACGGACGGCTCTGCCAAACAACATCGGTGGGGTCCCCGGCTGCGTGCCTTTTACGCTTAATTGCATCCGCTCGCGAGAACTCGACAGGCTTTGCAGTTGCTTGATTTTGCACAAGTCTATCAAACCGCATATGTTATTCTTCAAGACTGCTGCATCAAAGTAGCACCCATCGTACAGCTGTGTGACTCAGTCACATCCCGAAGTCTCCCCAGGGCAAGAGCAACTCTGTCCCTGCCGCCTGGCTCCCCAGCGAGATTGGCGCGTGCATGGCCACAGGAACGAAGCTGAGAAGTTGGCCTACGCTGCATTTTCTCAGGGTGGGGACAGCAGGTAAACTCATTTGACTCGCCTTGTTCGCCATTTTTTTCCCTAGTGAAGGCATCCGAGAGACAAGAGCAACCAGGAAACACCAGCAAGTCATATGCACAGTGGAGAACCCCTCAAGTGCCGTCTGGACGTGCGGCACGGGCATGTCGTGAAACACAACGACAATGTGCTCGACAGCCCATGCTCCTGAAATCCCCCGGCCTCCAAGCACGGGCTTTGCGAAAGGTATCGGGAGGAGCTTTGATCACAAAGCTGCTGCTTGCTGATCATGCACCCCCGGGGGCTTGCAATGCGACAGGAATGTCTTGCTGGGTTTTGCCGTAGGGGTGCAAACACAATGCAGGACAGAAAGAGAAACGGAAAAGGAGCTCTTTTTCTGCTCTGGAGCTCTGGGACGGTCACTCCGCCGGCTCCACCGGCTCCACGGGCTCTGCGGAGTTCACAGGTTCGGCCGAGTCCGGCTGCGCCGAGTCAGGTGCGGAGGCGGAGAGATCCGCAGACTCTGCTGCCGCGGGTTGGCGGACCGTCACCCGGAGCGCCTCACCAGCATGGCTCGGAACTTGCGTGACACCACCCAGCCGCTCCACACATTGGCCAGATCTGTTTAGTACAAGAACGCGAGCTTCTGGGTCCTTCGTGTCCTCCTCGATGTCAAGACGATGCGCCTTCAGCCTGGGATCCACGTTGCGATCACTGTCGGGCACCAGATCTAGGCCTCTAGGCCCGGATCTGGTTTGCAAAGGAGAGGCTTCGCCAGTGCCATCTTCGTGGGCGCGAGGATGAACTTCGCCTTGTCAACCCATGCAAGGGGTCAGAAAAATCAGCTCGCACTCTCTTTTCGATCTATTCACAGCTGCTCCCGCCTGCTTCGGCTCCTCACCATTTGCGGCAGAGCGCGGGATGAACAGCACAGCGGTCTCGCGAATACAGTTCGCAGTGTTTTGCAGGGCTGCATCTAGCCGCCAAACCCACAACTCCGGAACAGCATCTTGTCAAGACACACGTGATTCTCGCAGCCACCTGGCCTTGCCCTCACCAATCTCATCAGCTTGCTGGAAGCCTGTGCTTGCAAGAAGCGAATCGCACATGCGCGGCAGCACTGGTCGTTCCCACATCAAGTAGGTATTCCAGCCACATAAGCTCAGGACCACCCCGGTTGCTCCAGTAGTACTGCTGCTGGAAGTTGTAGGCATCGGCCTCGAATCTTGCTGATGTCATGACTCCTCTTCTGCAACGTGGCCCTGTTCTTCAACATACGACCTTCCAGCGGAAAAGGAAGATTGCAATTGACATGGAGCCCAACTTCTTCGTCACCCCAACATATCTATCACACGGCCAGAAGGATGTGATCCCAGGCCCAATTAAAGAAAAGATTCGAAGAGTGCCACCAGGTCTGCAAAGCACCGAGCCCGACACATCTCCCGAACGAGGGTTGAAGAGGCCTCAGTCGACAGACAAAAGCGACTCCAAGTTCTCAAGTAGCTTCGCTATGCTTCGCTATGCTTCGCTGACCCGTGGCACGGCTCTAGGGCTCGAGGTGAAATAGGAGTCTCACGGGCTCAGGGGGGCATAGGCAGGGCTCAGGCGAGTGAACCTAGGAGACTGGCTGAAGCACGTCGTCCGCGGGTCGGGCGCAGATCTGGCCAGAGGAATTCTGTCTTTGGCTTTCTTTGGTCCACGAGCCGCTAGAGATTGCATGCCTAGGACTGGCCCCCGCCTCAGCAACAGGTCGTTTTGCTGCACCATGTGTCCGCGAGGCTCCTCGTCGAATGCTACCTGAACATACCTGCGGAGACAGCAGCTTTGTGTCCGTCGCAGAGACTTTCATTCTCACGAGACAAACCACAAATCAGATGATGGCAGCTGTCCATGAGAATCTTGCTCCACTTCGGGCCAGCTGAGTAGGCTGGTGGCAAACAAATGCGATCCGCGCCTGTTCGACCAAAGCTGCACATCCGGCACGACTTGCATCACCTTGCAATGTGTCCGGGCACCAGATAGCGATGCAACTCATGCAGCCGAGGACAAGACTCGCTTTGGCCGCAAGTGTGGCTTTGAAGGATGCACAGGTTCCTGGCTCAGAAGACATAAGACCTCATAAGCGGCAGAACGATACTGATAAATACCAGCACAATGATGTAACAGAAATAGAGACAGTCTTGAAAAGAAGGAGTGGAGGAGGAGAAGGAGAAGAAGGAGGAGTTGTTGTCGTCGTCGTCGTCGGCGTCCCAGTCGTAGTCGTAATCGCCGTAGTGGTGGTGGTGGTGGTGGT